AGGGTGGGGCTAACTCACCTCAATGAACAGAATGGTGATTAGGAATAGCAAATTCCGATGCACTGGAGGTGTTTGGAAGAATGTGGCATTATGCTCCAACAGTATGGTAAAAGTTGGGGTCGACTCTGTATTTTCCCCAACATTTGGCTAAAATGGTCGACCAAGTTCCATCAGCTGTTAGGCCAGCTGCCTACAAGTGGGGACTTAAAGTGAAGATAACAGCGATAAATGTGACTTCTTCAAGTGAGCGAAAAAAGTATGATTAGGAATAAATATATAAATAATATATATCGTTGACGATGAATATAATCCACGACCATACGGGTGCACATCTCAAAAAGCTCATGGAATTTTCACAATCGGTAAATGAACTCAAACAAAAACAGACCTGATGTCTTGTTCCTACCAACTGTTTTGAGAACCCTCTGTCTTGATGATTAAAGAATCATTCGTGTTCTTACACTTTGACTATCCAAACATCCATTCAAAGCACAAGGAGGTATAGAGGTTTGCCAGCGAAAATTTCAGAATCCATGAGCAAAAACAATCTCGACTGGAAGACGGTACGGCGTAGTGCGATGATCCTGACGCGACACATTACTACTTTTGGGGACATTGATGTCAAGTCACTCAAAGTACATTGTCGCAGAACTGTGTTTGTTTTCAGTTTGGTCGCCGGGCACAGCGAACAAATGGAGGAAGTCGATGGAATTCGTGTATCCCGCGCTTTGTCTTTTTGTCGCTCAGTTGTAGTTTGAATCCTATAGAAAGTATAAAGTTGAGTGGGATGTAAATATTAGTTTACCCGCCTTACTCAAGTAGTGAGACTGCTTAATCCGACAGAACCTACACACTCTCTCATTTCTCACCTGTTATCTTAGAAGTAGGAAGCTGAAAAACAACACCTGCTCGAAAGCGCAAGCGATAGAGGGAGAGAGAGGGAATTTTGCCTTGAAACTTTCAGCGGGCAACTCTATAGAGTTGGAACTTTTCCAGACCCAATATTTAGATTATCCTGAAGCTGGACTACTGGCAAATTGAACTTTGCCACTCGCCTCAATGTCACAAGCAGCCAGAAGCTGTGTTTACGTCCCTGGTGCATTTTCCAGTTTCCAGAATCTCTGAGAATATTGAACGTATGGTGAAATCTAATTACGAATCAGATTTTACAGCGAGATTGGTCAGTTCTGTAAGGACAACCGGTTTTCTCCCGATCGCGATTCAACGAATGAACGCAGCACGGCAGTGATATATATGCTGGGAACACAGTTAACTGTGAATAGCTGGTTTATTGTACGCATCACAGATTCAATAATTGTCAGGAAATCAAATCGCAGTTTGAATCATAGTATTATTCCAAGCTTCAGAATGGCACCCACCATTTCAACTCATACCACTGAAAATTTCCATCGACATTTCGCTGGTAGGTCCGCGCTTACTACACTATGCTTACAGTAACAAGATATAATGAAACAGACATGAGAGCACATGAATCCGACATTGAAAAACCGTAGTACGAAGATCACAGAGGTGTGTTGCTAGTGTCGTTTACTGATTGCTATCCTTATGGATAAACATAAGGAGGATTGGTGAAGGCGTAATTCGCTGCTTGGACAGGCCCTACTCACCAAGTGCCTGCTGACTAAAAGAACATCCCACCAAGACAGAATTTGATCACCATTTGGAGCCATCTCGTTTCAAAACCACCGCCACAGTTGTCACGTGCATGAATGATGTAATCAGAGCGGCCATCGATTTGGCTTCTGATCCGGCAGGATATTTCAAAAAATCACCTACCAATGAAATTCAGAAGTTCATACAGATATCACGTGCGCCATACTAATATAACTGACCCGTCTGTATGGAAGTTCTTTCGATCACTGTTGTTGCATGGCACCACATGTTATACCATTCGACAGAAATGAGATATTGAATACGGAGGCACTTCGATCCCACTATATTCCGTCTTTTTCCCTACTTCATAGTTAATGGCACCTTATAAGGTTTTTGACGCATCTTCGTGAACCCACAGATAGTATGGGTGTTCTCTTGGATTCGAGACAGTGAACTGGACACCTTCTCAGCTTTCCGAACGAACGAACCTTCAACAGTGAGCAATCACTTCAACCCTGACACGTAGTTCCGAATCCATTGCATACTCATCGTCATACCTCGTTTGACCAGAACAAGGCAATGCTCGACGCCTAATTCCCCCAGCTGGTTTCAGTTATCTTGCAGTGTCGCATTGGCCAGTTCATAGAACTGACATTCACCCGACTTACAATATTCCATCACAGATTAGGCACGAAAGGACGAAAGTCTACGATGCAAAAAAAGTGATTTGGTGAGTTAGCAAGGATGTTACTTATCGGTAGACTTTTGTACTCTCAACTCTTAAGTTGCATCGATTTATTGTAGACTTCACAACTTGATTGCATAGGACCTGTTTGATAGGCCTTCTAAAGGTCACCTCAGTCGAAGCATCAATTGGTCATGCGCTGTTTTGTCCGTAATGGTTGCCCATCACGACGGATGGCATATTGAGCTATCACCTTAAGATACAAAATGAATGTGGGACTCATGGTGATAGAATAACATCCACCTCCCAACTCAACGAGTGATTCTTCCACCACGGCGTTTCATTCCATTGTAAGAGATTCAATCACTTTCTGATTATGGCAGGACTCAATGTTGCATTGTCGGCGACAGCCTGTGCTCCCGCTGCATGCTGAGTGCGCACTGACGCCTCCTCGACTGGGGACGAAACGTCTGCAAGCCAAACACCAAGCTCGGCGAACTGGTCAACCATCAATTCTTTCGGTGTATAGCTACGATGTCACTAAAAATAAATCCGAAGGTTGAAACAGTGTTAGTTTGCCCAGGAGCAGTCAAAATGCTGAAGTCGAGTTCCAACCATGGACATTAAAGGCAGCAAGGTCGCGCTATTGGTTACTAACTTTCACTTTGTTGGTCTTCTTCTACAGCTGACGCATCATTTATTGCCAATCAAACGCTGGATAGAAAATTTAAGACTGTTTACCTACGGTTCATCAACGCTTTCCGGAGCATCCACGAATTATGGCTTCCATAGCTTTAAACCGATAAAGACAGTAAACAGCCTGATCGATCTAGGTAGAGATCACATATAATTCGAGCGTGGACGACCTATGCTCAAACGCCGACTACCACCTCTTTTTCATGTTGTAGTAGTTAGGCGACATCCTCATCTCTGAATGACAGATTTGCTGCAAGTATTGCGTACGTGAATGAGACGCTTTACTTTCTATCCACTGTTCTCCTGTGACCCTTCCACATTCATCGCCTGCATTTACTTTTTATGTCTGCGACCATGCACGATAGTTATAACTCTAGGTGCTAAAGAATATAAATGATGGCTGATCAGGTGGATGCTCTCTCAATGGAGAATTCATTCTGCTTCCTAACCTGTTCGGAACTGCTGAGATAATTCTGTCCTCTCAACTCTGGTCAACATTACCATCACCCAGTCATTAGCTACCAATCTGTTGCTGTTCTCAGTATCCATCATTAGCAATATCCAGGTGTAAACCATCACTGTCCCCAAATAAACTTTCACTAGAACAGTTCGACGTCTAGATTTTAATGCTGAGAACTTAGTCAAGTGTTCACCCATTCCCTTTAAAGGACTCTTCGAGATAGATTAACACCTTACTGTTAGGCCGATAAACTGTCTCCGGTTGCGGTCGAATCCTCAAGACAATCTGGAGTGACATCGCAGTAATTGCTGACTTACTGGCCAAACTCCCGGGCCAACGACTTTCGGGGTATCTTAGTGAAATACTCTGTTTCATCAGTGTGAAGAACTCAGAAGTACTAAGCTTATGTTCAACTCTGGCGACATCGCACTGATTTGTAATCCTTGTGCCGGTGTTCAGCTACACTCGCCGCATGATCAAATTGCACAGTCCCATGTGGAGTCGACGAAAAGGGTAGGTGGTGGGAACGTCCCTATGAACCTACAGCAACGAACCCTTTGTCCGGTAAGGACTTGCTTTTCCCTTGTAAAAAGGAAAAACAAACTTAAAACTCAAACACATTCACCTTTTAAGCCCTGTACACAACTAGACACTGATGGATGTACTTCCAGTTCCAAAACTGGTGCTTGGCCACCACCCACTTCAGCTATCAACCACGTAGCAAGGGCAAGTTCGCCCAACGATGTCGTTCACCAAGTGACAGGAAAAGCGGACAGAACCATCAAGTCTTGGTTAGACCAGTTCAGGGGTGAAGCTCTGCAGCTACACAAAGATAGCAATAGCTTGGAATACAGGATCAACGTATTTTCCGCTATAGCGAATTCCAGCTCGGTTGGTGGCTTTTCTCCTCCGGGTGGTCGATCAACCTGCGCGAGATAATGCTGTAGTACATTGGACGCGAGGGCTACCAGGCTGATGCCATCATGGCTTTCGTAGGATGTTCTTGTATCATTTTAAAAAGACCTGAATCACCCACATTGTTTTCGCTTCAAATACTTTGCGGTAAATATACCATGGTTTTGCTCTATTCTTTGAGTGATATAAACCATCTAGGCCCGCTGTCTTGTTGAGATATATCGATGAAATCATCTGCCTGCTTGATGGTGGCACTGTGGCAAAGTCCAGTTTAGGTTCATTGCGATTTTCCATAGTTTGTGTTGAGAAGGACCAGCGTTCGCTGGATGTAGCAATCTTACGATACACCGATGCCATAAAACCCTGATGGAATACTGTCGAGAAAAGCAATAAATCTGGATTGGGTTCGAAACACCTATGTCCATTAGATGAGTCGTGCTTCGACTAACAAAGAACATCGAGTTCATCCGCGTATATCAAAATGTCAGAAGCTATTTTCGTTTCATTCGGTCTGAAGATAACCTTTATATTCTGACACACTACGTAACCTCAGTTGATCCGTGGGGGATTTGATGGAAAACCCTACGAGGAATCTGGATTGGATGAAGAAACAACGAACGTTTTTTTTTTTTGAGGAAAAAAGCTGTACTATCAGAATCCATACCAAGCTGCACCAGAGCGAACCCGTATCAGGTGCAGTGACGAAGACCGGCACAGAAAGGCGGAAAAGAAAGAGTGAAGGAGCGCAGAAATAGGTCTGTCCGGAGAATTTACAAACTCCGGTTTTGCGCAAACACCCGCGGAAAAAAAATGGGAGTAAAAAAAGAACAGGTGCGACAATATCAATCAGAGGGAAGAAGAGAAATGTGCATGAGAACACCAGTAAGTTGTCAGGCGAATGGATGCGCGTAATCAATCCTAAGAGAAAAGAAAAAACAAGCCACTTGGTCGAGGGCAAATAAAGGAACAGGAGGAACAGTCATGTCACAAAGTGACCCAACAGGAAAATCACGTCCCGAAAAAGGGTGGCAAAACAGGGTGCGAAATCAAGTCCGTTGATGGATCAATAGATCAAGAACATAAAATAGTGAAACAACAGTCCATCGCGAGACATTCAGCAAATCAAAATCTTAAAATTGTAGGAGGGCGAGAAAGAAACAAAAACGAAGTTGAACTCAATTCTTCCATAATTATGGTGCTGAGAAAAAGCTCGACGATAACGAATCCTCTGGGTAGATGAAGGGGGGTGAATGTTCCACATGCGCAACATGTTCGGGGAATGGATAAGCAGCTCTGAACGGAAAGACGACTGACTACAACTTGTTCAACAACGTTGGGAGGCTCGTAAGTCGGATGGATACCTTTTGGATACAGTTACAACATAGCTCGTGGTCCAATGCTCCAGCTTAGACGAGTGTAAAAAAACGCCCGACAAATAACAACTAACCAGAGGTTTATAGCAACTGGGGGGGTCAGGACCACAGGAGAGCGGATGAAGGAAGTTGGTTGACATAAACAATAATACAGATCAACTGAGCGACAGCTTGGGCGCATTGAAAGACACTTAATCGTTCCCCCGGTTGTGGGATTCACAACCACGATCAACCCATCCAATCAGGAGTCGGAACATCAAACCTAATTTGGACAAGCAGAGAAGGACAGGCGGTCGATCAGGACACAAATGACAGAGACAGTGAGAAGAGCGCATGAAGGTGACCATGTGATTGGCAGTTCACTTGACAGGAAAATCCTAGATCAGACAATAGCAACGAGTGGTGAAACGGTATCAGTTGAAGCGAGGGAATCACAGATTCACACATAAACGGAGACGGGTGTCACACACAAATGTCTCGAATAACGAAAATAGTTATCCAACAAACCATAAGGGGACTGATATAGTGAGAACAATATTACAGATGCTGAGTTGAGTGTGGAGTTGGTAGGCAAGGAGGGGTAAACAAACAAGAGATGTACACAAACACATAAACGCGGGAAGTGGAGCGCTCTGGTTCAGGAAAAAACACTAAATAGGTGGAGATCCAAACAGAGCATCGATCAAAGGATTTGGTAAAGGTCATGGTCGCGTGACGCAATAGTATCCCAGATTGCTTTGTTACAAATATCGTCCAACAGATGCACAGCAAGGGAGAGAGCAATGGAGCAAGTAAAAATGTAAAAAGGAATGATACGGAGTGAGTTTGGACAAAACTGTCCAGAGGTTCCGATTCACACACACACACACATACATACATACACACACACGTGCCCATCCGTCTGTAAAGGAAGAGATCATTGGGCGAAGATAAGAAGCAATTGTTGGGCACAAGGGATAAATAATACAGAGAACATGTGCGTGTGAACGCGCGCACTCTGATTCACTGAGTAGTTGGTTGACAAAATATCGAACCGTCACTTCTTGCTTGCCAACAGACAGCAAGTAAGTGGTTATTTTTGGTTGGCAATGTTAGGGATGACAACAGCAGTTGAGGTGAGGAAACAGTCAGTTCAAGCGTCACGGTAGTAGAGTGGGAACGATGTATATGGATTTGCGCTGACTAGATTAGTACCCAAGTCATCTTATTTGGAGCCTAAACAGGCAGCCGGTGTTCCGACCACAGACACATACACACAGTGGGAAGGATAAGTGAGCGCCCAAACTGGGGCCCAGCTATTGCGTGAGCGAGGAAGCAGTGGGCGTTTGAATTAAATCGGATAGTTGAAACTGGTAGACACGTTAGGATTCCCTGTGGCTAAACTGGCCGGTCCACTGCTCAGTGGCATGCAGGAGCGATGCACATGGACGTTCTGCCAACTTCGACCGTCACGCCTGGTCCAGATTCTAGTCTCCTCTGTTTGTTGTGTGTGAGGTATGCCGCACCTGTGCAGAGGCATGTGAGAGAAGGATATTAGTCGCGGTAACAAAATAACTGGACGACGACATACGGAAGAGGTTACAATAAAGATCGTAGCTTTCCAAATGTGCATATCGAAGCTTGTCTCAAAAAGAAATCTCGAATGACCATAGGATAGGAAGGTAGCATATTTCATAAACACGAAGGACCATGTTAGATCGACAAGAACACTTCAACAGGGAACACATCGTTCAATATAAGATGGGTAGTAACTACATGAACGAGCGAGCC